ACTGCGGTCCAGCGGTCGTGACATCACGCGGGCAAGGGTCACAAAACAACAAAATGGGAAGGCATTCACTGGTGCCATCCTGGGCATGGGTCAAAAATCGGATGAATTTCGGTGAATTTCGGCTTCAGACATTTTCAGACAGAAAAAAAGATCAAAATATAAACAAAATAAGCAATGCTCTGAGGTTCACCTGGCCTCAAACTTTGACCCAATTTCATCTCGTATAGACCTCATGTGCCGCCGCCCCCGCCCTTGCTGTCCTGCTGTCGTGGCAGCTCCCGGCATGCTGTCGAAAAGTCAAGCCGTCACCTACTGTGCTACATTGAAGTGGGAAAGCCCTGTGGAACTCTGAGAGTTTGTGGATGTCTTTAGATAGAAATGGGATTAATCGATAATCATGGGATCATTGGATATGAATTGGATATGAAATGATATACTTGAATGGCATCTGCCAGTAAAGGATCATAAAATGAAGTGGAATAAATGAGAATGGAGCGGTGTAAAATATTCTCTCTTTTTATGATGCAAGTGACGTGTCTGAATCTTTTTGCTCTTGGGGGCCATTCAGCCCTGAACTTTGCCAGGGAACAGCCTCCCCATGACCATGTTGTGCCAGGTCCAAGCCAGTGGCACTGCCAACACCCAAAAGATCGACAACGTCATGATGGCCCTGCAAGGCTGCAACCAGGAACGGCGTTGCACCATCGTTCCTGGCTTGATCTTTGTTGGCGCCAACTTCCAGCAAATGACGCACAATGTCAAGATGGCCGTTGTAGGCTGCAAAGAACAATGCCGTTTTACCAGCTTTTGTGCGCCAGTCTTTGTCGGCGCCAACTTCCACCAAATGATGGACGATGTCCGAATGGCCCTGCGCGGCTGCAATGATCAATGGTGTTGCACCATCATCCATGGCTCGATCTTTTTGGGCACCCACTTCCACCATATGACGAACAACGTCAAGATGGCCTTGCTGAGCTGCAATAAACAATGCAGTTGCACCAGCCTTTGTGCGCCAGTCTCTGTCTGCACCAACTTCCAACAAATGACGGACGATGTCAAGATGTCCTTCCTGGGCTGCCATAAACAATGGTGTTTCACCTTCATTACTGGCTTGATCTTTGTCTGCACCAACTTCCACCAAATGACGGACAATGTCAAGATGGCCATTCTGAGCTGCAATACCCAATGGTGTAACACCATCATTCTGGGTTTGATCTTTCTCCGCGCCAACTTTGACCAAATGGCGGACAACCTCGAGATGGCCGTTCTGAGTTGCCATAAACAACGGTGTTTCCCCATCATTCATTGTTTGATTTTTGAGGGCACCAACTTTCAACAAATGTCGGACGATGTCAAAATGGCCTTGCGTGGCTGCAGCATGTAGCGGCGTTGCACCTTCGTTCCTAGTTTGATCTTTGTTGGCACCAACTTCAATCAAATGACAGACGACCTCAAGATGGCCGTTGAAGGCTGCAGCAAACAATGGTGTTGCACCATCATCCATGGCTCGATCTTTTTGGGCACCCACTTCCACCATATGACGAACAACGTCAAGATGGCCTTGCTGAGCTGCAATAAACAATGCAGTTGCACCAGCCTTTGTGCGCCAGTCTGTCTGCACCAACTTCCAACAAATGACGGACGATGTCTAAATGGCCCCGCGTGGCTGCAATGATCAATGGTGTTGCACCATCATCAGTGGCTCGATCTTTCTCCGCACCGACTTCCACCAAATAACGCACAACCTCCAGACGGTTCTGTTCAGCTGCAATCCACAATGGTGTTTTACCATCATCCGTGGCTTGATCTCTCCGGGCACCAACTTCCACCAAATAGCGGACAATCTCAAGATACCCCTGCGAAGCTGCAAGAAACAATGGCGTTAAACCATTATCGGTGGGCTGATCTTTGTCAGCTCCAGCTTCCACCAAGTGCTGCACGGCATCAAGATGGTCATTTCCCACTGCAAAATGCAATGGCGTCATCCTGTAAGGTCCTCCATCTCTCACGTCTGTTTTAGCACCTGCTTCAAGCAAGAGCTGCATGCTTTGAACATGTCCATGCCTCGCTGCATGGTGCAACGGCGTCCGACCACTTGCATTGGCTACATTGGGATTCCATGGCTCCTTCAGCAACTTCTCAAGTTCAATCAAATCATTGCGAGCAGACGCAGCGAGTATCCTTTGGTCTTGTTCAGCATCACCTGGGCAAAATTCCAAGATCACAATCTGAAGCTTCACTGGAGGCGAAGCAAAAACCTCATCATCCACAATCTCAGAACCATCTTCCCAAAAGAGCCGCTGTCTGAATCTGGTTACACCAACCTGCTTGGCCAAGGCTTCCTTCACAGCCCTTGCAGTTTTTCCTTCGAACTCAGCAAGGGCGGCCAGCTTTTCGCCCGACGCAAGGAAGTATACTTCCATTGCTGCACTGGCTGAAATGGAGACAACCCGCAGCTAGGCACGTTCACATTCGTAAGATGTTGAAAGATATGGCAAGATATTGGAGATATTGTAATGTAATTTGACCATGTGACTAAATTCAGTTGAATTAGTGGTGAGTTTTATATCATATTAACTATAGATATACATCATATATATATATCATATCATAGTATCATCTCATAATTTAATATAATGTCATATAGATAAGCTGATGTTTTACATCTCAAAAAGTCAATCTGTGTGGAACTTCTGATGCGTCCGCGAGAAATATCAACGGTAGGCTCTGGCCTTCACCAAACACACCGCAACGATGTCCGGCCCCAATGCCCCAACGATCCGGATCAAAATAACAGGTTTTCAATACCCAAGAGATCTTTAAGATCGAAAGAATGTCTGGAGGTCTTCCACATCTGACACATGTATTCTTGATATCTAACAGATTTTTAAGAGCCAAAAAATGATGAAAATGGCTGGTTTCTTGGGCGCCGGCCTTCAAGCTTTCACCATTTCAGCCCACCATCTCAGCTCGAAGAGCCTGCAGGATGTTCCAGCTGAGGGGCCCGATAAAGTGTCGACGCTCCCATCTGGGAATGTGAAACGGGATAGAAGTCACTAATCATAACATATATCATCATATATCCATACAGACATACCCTCTGGTAATCAAACTTGGCAATGAAAATCCTTCATTGATATTATTTAGTTCAATGATTTTCCCATCCTCTTAACCTCCATTACATCCATTTATGGGGAATTTTCCATTGCCACGTTTGAATACCAGAGGGTAAGTAAGGATGATGGATGCAAAATGAGAAATCAGATGGGAAATTGTGAAGTTTTGGAAAATGCTTGGGTTAAACTGGTTAAACTGAATGATGGTCCCCCCGAAATAACCAAGATTTGAAAAAGACACCAGCTAAACCCCGTAGTTGTGAAACCAACTTCCGGATCATCCCAGTGGAACCAGGCTTTGATTCCTTTCCTGGTACCATTTGCCTTGTATTTGCAAGATTATGGAATTAGAACGCATGGTATTTGCTACATTTTCCCATGTTGGCCTTCCATGTTGCATGGTATTTGCCACATTTTGGCACTTCAACCTCCCGTTTGCATGATATTTGCTACATGTTGGTACTTCAAACGTTCATGTCATGTGGGTTTCTTTATTTAGGCTTTCATTTAGGCTTTCTTCAGGGTTTCATTTGGGGGTTCTTTAGGGTTTCATTTGGGGTTTCATTTGGGGTTTCATTTAGGGTTTCTTTAGGGTTCATTTAGGGTTTATCTACGGTTTCATCTAGGGTTTCTTACCAGGATTTCTTGATTTCTTATCAGGGTTTCTTATCAGGATTTCTTTAGGGTGTCTTTGTGTTACATCTAGGGTCTCTTTTGGGTTTCATTTAGGATACAAACAGGAGAGAATAAAGCGAAAGAAAATGAAAAACAAAGAGACAGTAAACGACAAAGAGACTGTAAAAAAAACAAAGAGACAGTAAAGAAAGGAAGCAGAGAAGCACAGGAGCAGGAAGTAGAGCAGTAAAAACACATGACTGAAGAAAAGAAAAGTAGAAGTAGAAAGGCACAGAAGCAGAAAAGCAGGAAACGCAAAAGCGGAAAAAGCAGAGAATCAGGAAAGCAAAAAGCGGAAAAGCAGAGAAGCACAAAAGCAGGAAGGCAGAGAAGCAGGAAAGCAAAAAGCGGAAAAGCAGAAAAGAGAGAAGCAAGAAAAGCACAAAAGCAGGAAAAGCAGAAAAAACAGAAAAGCAGAGAAGCAGGAATCAAGAAAAAAACTGGCCCAATAAAAAAATAACCCTCTTCCCAACTGTCACGGTCGTTTGCTTCAAATACCCTCTATGAAGCATCGCTGCTAGTTGGGCCACACATTTTTAACTGTTCCAAAGCCCTGGAAATCAATACCCTCTGGTAATTCAACATAGCTATTGAAAATGGCCATTTATAGTGAATTTTCCCATTGAAAATGGTGATTTTCCATAGTTATGTTAGTTTACCAGAGGGTAAGATCAATAAAAATCACATGCCTTCCTGGTCCTCTCGGTCCTCCCGATCCCACCACAAGGCTCCTTGTTCACAAGGCCCCGCTGCAACAGCTTGAGCCATCAAAACAGGAGTCGATGGTCCCCCAGCCTGTCCCAAGTTCTGATTTTTTGATCCCCGTCACCATAGGTTTCAATACTAAGTCATGAGTCATCCATGACGACTGGATGATTTGGGGGTACCCCTATGACTTAGGAAACCTTCAGAACCTCAGAAATCCGCGGAAACAAAAAACGTGTCCGATGATTCCGATGTCCAATAGTCGCCCAATTTTTCCACGGCGATGAATCCATTCAGCTTCGATGAAGCAGTTTCTGTTTGCCTTCAACGACACCTGTTAGCAGGTGGTTCAACACCAGCTTGGCCAAGTTTTTCCAGCTGCTTAGAGGATCACCCCATGAATCCTAGCTCTGTTTTGGTATGTGTGTTTACATTTTGTCCTTATGAGCCAGTTATACATGAGAGAACCAACTTCATAGGCTACCATATAAAAAATAAAACGGTCACCAGTCGAGTTAGTGTCCCAAAAAATGTGAACAGGAGCCCCTTACAGGACTCAATGCTTGGGATGCTCCTCAGCTGGGCCTCAGCAGTTGCTGCAGCGTTGCCAAATCTGTTTGTCTTTCGACGCCTTGCTGGGCGTCCAGTGAAGCACCTCGGGCCAGCCCGGAGCCAGCTCCACGGAGTAGCCTGGTGACCAGTGACAGGGGGCAAGGTGGCTGTTTTTAATGGTGATAATATGTGATAATCATGATTCTGATCTTATGAATTCTTATGATATGTGTCTGTTGTCATTTCAAGATGTTATTTGGGTATGTCCGAAAATGGCGGAAAAATAAAAAAACAAATTGCCATGTTGAGATGGATAGTGATGAATCACTGGAGATTGGGGTGCCCTATTCTCAGACAAACTCATTTCAAGAGAATCTATCCAAAGACATGAACAGAAACCTCTTAATGAGTTCAACTAAAACGAACCAACCATATTGGTACGTTTCAGATTGATCTTCCTCCATGTACAAAAAAAATACCAAAAAAAAACTATATACACAATTCATCACCACACAATTTATCACCAACTGTTTAGATATGTGGCAACCATATCGTGCCTAAAGGCTTTGTCTCCTGTACCCTATTCCCCCCATTGTATATCCCCAATCACATCCCAATCATCCATCTGACTAGCTGTTTAATGAATCTGACAATTCAGCCATTTCTGGTTCCCTTCATCCAATTCCCATCATTTCGACAGCGTCGTCACATGTTGGTTGCTTCAAAATCTCCATCCTGGTTGAATCTCCATATACCAAACTCGACCTTGTGGTTGCCTCCAATCCCCATTTTTACATGTTTACCTCACCATTTCTTCCCCCGGTCCACCTGCGCCCCACCAGATGCACTTGGCGTCGCTGTCGGCCTTCAGCATGGACTGCAGGTGTCGCGACATCCCATCGAGTCGATCCAGCTGGACGCTGCAGGAAATCGCCGGGCTGTCCAGGGTCACGGTGTAGAGATTCTCGTCCTGGCGGTGAAACCAATGGAAACCAATGGAAACCAATGGGATCATAGTATCCAAAGCGATGTTTCGGTGTGGAGAATGGAAAATGTCACCCCCAGTTTTGGCCATCAAATAGTTGGGAAAAATGATGATAAACCAATAGATTTTGGGAGACGCTACTTTCAGACAGTCGGATATAGTTTTTCGAGACTTTTATATCAAATCTGGTTACAAATAGAGTTTGAAGCTTCGGCCTGAGCTGATTGATAATCTTTTTGGTAGCAATTCCATAACCCACCGTCAATGACCATTGGGGGAATGTAGATGAGAAACCAATGTTTTCCCCAAAAAAATAGGGGTAATCTTCCTTGAATTTTGAGAAGCCAAGTTTGAGCTCTTTTGCAGTGGAATGCTGTTCAAAGATCTCAAGCAACGGAGTATATCAAAATTAAAGATGTTAGTTGAAGGTGTAAAGTTTGTATAACCATGTATAACCCCTCTACGAGAGTCTATGGCGTTGCATTTCCAATTTCAAGTTCGTTCTCAGTGGGGGAGTAGCATCAAAGAGGTCAACTGCGCACCCAGTCCTGGTCCTGCCAGGTCCCCACAAGTTTCTCCAGATTCGCCTGACAGGTTTCTATCCAAGGGGAAGATCATGGTCCAATGGTCCTGTCAAATCCCCACATTCCCCAAAAACATCCATAAACAAAACACAGACACTTTCTGGACTTTGGAGATCCCTCTTAAGCCCACCGAAAAGAGACCATACCGCAACATCCTCAGCGGCACAGGAGGGTAAAAGGTGGAACATCCCCTTGAAATAGGTGGGAAAATCCCAGCAAAAAGTGGTGATTTTCCCCCAACCGGGCACCAGGCCTGTGCCCAGCTCTTGTGCACCAATAACCAACGAAAGGACTTGCCCTGGCCTGTGTGAACCCAGACCTGAGTTTTTTCCGTGCCGAAGCGATCGTGCGAAAGTGAAATGACGACATCGATCTGCACAAATCCACTGGGGGGGTGTCCAAACCTGGAAAAAAATGTGAAGGTATAGTATTTTATAGTATGCTTTGCCTGAATTTCGGTTATGCCAATGTCCCTCAAGTCTGAAGTTGGCATATCAAGACCATGTGAGAGTGGACGGATCATGCAAAATCCATTCTGTCCACACTGTCTAGGCCGGGTAACCACATCACCAGCGCCCTGCACGTCCAAGTAGTACGATCTGCCCCACATCACAGACTCCATTTTGGTGCTATACTTCAGCAGCCCTGATCAGTTGGCCGGAAATTGAAGGAATCCCTGTAGGCACAAGCTATGACCCACTCCCTAACCATGAATTCTGCTTGGTGATCCTATAGGCTATGTACCTGAGCGGCGAGCGGGGCAAGTAGGTTTCTGCCACAATCTACTTCATGTAAATGTTAACCCAGGATGAATAAACCCAGCAGTTAACGAATGACATGGGGGTACCAATGTTTTACCGTACTCATTCAACATAGAGTAACTCCCAACTTACAGTAAATCAACCGAGTGACGGTAGCTGGACCGACCCACCAAGTCACTGGACCGGCCGATTTTTCCCCGCCTTTTGAGACACGCGTTCGGCCGTCGGGGCGTTGAATCTCCACGGTACATGAGTCCCCCGAGTCGTCCATGGTGACGTTGTACACGCTGCACTCCTGGTGAGTCGGTAAAACGATCATGGGAAAGAAGCAGATTTTTAAGCAACAATCATGGGTGATATGTTTCAGAAATGGCAGTGTGTCAAAACCTTGTACCCCTGGTGAACATCAAAATAGCTGGTAAATGGATGTTCATCCCCCTAAAAATGGTATTAATAGGTATTGATCCATACCCAAATGACTTGAACAAGTCAACTTATCATACTTGTAGCTCTATGATCTCTATGAATGAGAAGACTGATGATCAACCGTTGGATTTGCTAGGAGACGATCTTGGGAGCCAAGAATTTTGTGGGACATCTCCTGAATCTATGGCAGATCAACAAGTGGGTCCATCCCCGGGCAGGGATGTCAGATGTCATGGAATCCAAACATCAAGGGATGTCTGAAGCAGTGCTGATGATGATTCCCCAACATGGGAAAGTGATGCCAAAGTGTTTGACCATGGCACATATGGGACAGTATGATTATATTATAAACCTCTTTTACATTGATGTTTGTTGAATCACGGATCTCGCAAGGACAAGCTTTGCAACACATCACCCTATGACACAACGTGCAAGGTCCAGAGGCGCCCTTGCAATCACCTGTCCTCGTCTTTCCATTGTCCAACCATCTGGGCAAGCAAGGCTTGCAAAGTACTTCTGGTCACTACCTCATCCCAGGGAGCTGCGGAGTGGTACCTCCAAATCCCCTCAAACCCCATGGCCACCCCAGGCATTCTGTCACGTTACGAAGGCCCCTTGATCTGGAACACTCTCCCACCAAAAGCCACGCCCAGACTTGATGGACGTCCAGCAAATGCTGCTCCCGTCACCTGACGGGTGACGAATAAGGAAGACCTCGTGGGGCCATGGCAACGTCTGGGCCATGTTGGAAGCTCGCCAGCTCTGAAAATAGACTACTCCAAAGTCCGATGGCTTAAAACTTCAATGTTCCAGCCATGTTCCCACTTTCCAATGGCCAGGCGTGCCATGGTCAAGTTACTTTGTGTTCATGGGCTATGGTAATCCCACCATCATGAATGGGATTCCCCAATTCATGGCGAGAGTAATGTTTATGAAAAACTAAAGCCATATCCCCACGTGATTGGTGCTATATCTCATTATATCCCCATGTTAGCTTGTTTATTCTTTACACCATTTTTGTTGGTTAAATCACCTATATCTTCGTTACGGCAGAGCCCCAAGAGACATCCCGGGCCGCCTTCGACGGGCTCCAAGAAGTAGGCGTCAGCCCAGCAGAGGCCTAGGCAGAATTTCCAGAAAATCTCTGGGTGATGCATGATATCATGATAATATGGAAGGTTTGAAAATTGGTAGCAATCTTTTGGCAGGGTCTACGTTGGTTGGGGGGATGGTTTTTATGAAATTGGGTCAGCAAATTGGATGGGAACAAAAGAGTTGTTATTATTATAAGCAAGGTGTGTTGCCAAAATCATCCAAAATCATCCAAAATCATTATATGGCTGGCAACTGTCCACGTAGATATGCATGCAAGAACATCTAAGTATACGTATACTTACATGAGTACTTACATACATAGACATACCCTCTGGTAATTTAACATAGCTATTGAAAATGGCCATTTATAGTGGATTTTCTCATTAATCATGGTGATTTTCCATAGCTATGTTAAATTACCAGAGGATAGATATAAACACCATCACTCATCTGGTGCCCTGCAAGTCATCTCTGTAGGCGCCTCCATCTGCATAGCACTTGATGGTCTCTCGCGCCTCATAGCGTCGCCCGTCCTGGCGTTCGATGCTCGCGCTGCAGGACCAACCGCTCTCATCCATGGTGATCTTGTAGATGGCGCCATCATCATCTCGCCAGCTCCCAACGACCTGGAGCAACTCGGATTTGTTTTGAAGGTTTGGAGGAATCGCCGATGTTTTCTGTACTTCCTTCTATCATGTCTCAACAACTTACTTCAACACATTCCCCTTGTCAGAACAATCAGCGCCATCCTTCCCGGCGGCGACCTGCTCGAGGGTCGGGACGCTGCGGTCCCCATCCACCCAGCCATGCCAATCAGGGACTGCTTCCACAATTGCCTCCTCACTGTATAGCCTCTGGTGACAAACAGTTTTCTATGGAAAATCACCATTGAAAAAAAACATATAAATCTTGGAACCAAATGGGTCATCTATACCATAGCCAACTGGGCCAACTGTAACAAATTACCGGAGGACCAAGATGTGACCGGTTGCAAAGGTTGGAGATCTACACTTCTTACAAGCTTCTTCGGAATTGATGGTCCCAATTCCTGCGAGCAAAAACTATGCTTGAGACTCTTGGACAGGTTGCGTATATGTGTATACACACGTGCTACACACAGTTACACATTAAATTGTGTGAATTCAGTATGAAACCAACCCAGTCTTGCATCTTCTTGTATTTCCCCATCCGGTGGCCCTCCAGTCGCGGCCTGTACCAGGTGTAGGGTGGCACGTTCTTCAATGGCTTCCAGTAGACTTTGCTGTGGTCATAAGCTTCAGTCTGAAGGTAGTAACTTCTGCCCCACATCAAGAGGTCGGACTTTACTGGGCCAGCGGGCAGGAGTTTCTGCTCATCGCAACTCAACCAGGTTGACTTCAGTGGATGATTATTTCAGTCCTGCTAGACTAGACTACAGCTAGAACTTGGTTGTTTGTGCAACACTGCAACACTGGGATGGCTTAGACTTGGAGGCAGAACCCACAATTTTGGGGCGTGTTCAGAACTGGGGCTTCTTCAGAACTGGGGGGCCAAATTTTGACTGGACCATAACTAATTACAATAACGAAATTGATTTAGCTGAAATAGTCATCCATCGCATTCGTAGAAGGAACAAAGCTCTGTGACTTCCACTAGCAGTGCCACATCAATCATAGACACTTCCCATCAGTTCCAGGAATAAACAACTGAAAGAAAAATACGTTGTCGGTTTTTTCGGGCGGAAATATTCTCAAGGTGACCCCGACAATTTGTTATGTTTGCTCCAAAAAATCACACGGCAAAAACCTGCGGCTTGGGGGTTCGTCTACCCAGCCCTGGAAACATTTCGACGTTTCACAAACCGGAGATTGTCTGGAAAAGAGATACATGATCCCCATTCGGATGATCCCCATTCGGATTGCCAAGTTGGGGTCCCACCCCACTTTGCACAAACCCATCTACCCATATTTGTTGGCTTTATCCCATTACACCCCCAAAAAATACCCCTAGTTGCTTGTGGGTCTGCGTCAAAACCCTGGCTACATAATGTTATATACACTTGATAACACCAAAATAGCTGGGATTTCTTCATGTTCATCTCCCTCAAAACGGATATGGAATGATAACTTGATCCATCCCCAACAAGAATGCCAAAGTTTGCCATGCCACCGTCGAATTTCAGCATGGCGCGCGTCAAGACGACATGGCCATTCTTCCGAGTGGTGCGAACGCTACAACTGGTGCCATCCGCGTCTTTGCGGACCTCTGTGAGGTGGAGAGGCGATCTGGTGACAGATGACTTGTCGAAAAAAAAAAACTTGTAAAGCCATGTGGTCATCAAATGTGTATGCATACATATATATATATATAATTTCACAGATGGATGAATGGACGTATAGATGGATAGGCAATAATATAGGAAAACCACCAAATGCGTTTGACCAATTCACATTTGAATGATACTTCTTTGGGGGTCTCCCCCATTGCTGCTTCTCGGGGGTTCCCAAAAAACCACTTGTAGGGGATTTCTCACCACTTCCTCCGGTAGTTACTAGCAGTTTGCTATGGAAAACCACCATGATAATAATAGATGAATCATCGAAATAGATTTGGAGGTTTCCTAAATTGGAGGTACCCAAAAACCATGGGTTTCAATACTAAAATAGTCTAATTTTGAACGATTGGGGGTAGGAAACCTCCATTTATCACCATGGATCATTCAATTCCAACCAGCACACTAGATCTTCATAGCATTTGTTGGTCACGTATCCAATCGAGCCTTTTTTTGGTGCTCGTCATGCTTAAAACTTCACAGCAACATGAGGAAACCTGTGTTTTAGGTGGTGCAAAAACCATCAGAAACCATGAGATCCTGTCGTCTTTTCCCGTAAATCAACTTCGTGATCTTTCCGTTGTCACCAACAAAAGAACCTCAACGAAGCTCATGATGTCAAGGTTGAATTAAGGCCTCGCCTGGACATGGCAATTCCTGCAGGCTGTCCATCGCCAGCCATCTGGGGATGTGCACTTTTGACTCTGCATATTCAAAACATCTTAGAACAACAAAAATTGTCCAAAGGTCTACAATCCCAATCAGTGTTGGTCGTAGGCTTAATTTTCTTCCATAGAAATGTGGTGAAGGTCATTCCTTCAACTCAGCTCCAAGTTGAAAAGGATTTTGGAGATGCCCAAAAGGGTGTTTGGGGCCAGTTTGGGGGGCCTTACACAGCTTCATTTCTTGCACATGGAGACCCCATGTCTTGATCTGCATTTAATCGATATGTGATTCCCGGAAATTCAACACTAACTAAAACCTGTCCCAGGAAAACCCATCTCTCCAGTGGTACCCGCTGCCCTGCCTGGTACTGATTCCCTTTGTCGTCCTGCCAGTCTCCAATGATGTCATCCAGCCAGGGTGCCATTGAGCCAGGTCGAGCCAGTGCAACCGAGCTTTGTCGGTTGGAGAAAAAAGGAGCTTTTTCAAGGCCTTTTTGGTGAAGAACTCTGGCCATATGATGCCATATGATGCCATATGATGCTAGTTGTTTCGTTCATTTTTGTGGATTTTTGGGATGTCTCTTGGATTAGACATCTTGTAAGCCTGAAACCGACCGTAGAGGGTGAGAATTTGCCGTCTATTTCTGGGCATCTAAGAATGGGGTGGATTACTACTAAAAAAGCAACAAGATCTCTAGAAATTTTGTGGTTCCCAGCACTTGGAATTTGGACCTACAAATGAGAAGACCTTTTTTGTCTCATCGCGGGACATGATTTCAGCGGAGCTGAGCCAAAATCGGGGAACCGTCCGGAGTCCAGGGATCCACTGGTCGCTGTTTATGTGTTTTCGGAGACTTTTGGCAAAGTGATTCGTCGAGGTCCGTTTTCATCCCATATTTGTGCCGTGCCATGACCTCATGCCAGACATGTCTTCTCAAAGACCTTTTACTGTGGTGAACTAGTGGTTCACCGACTATTTATCCACCAGTTAAAACATGTTAAAACCACCTTCGCAAAAATCTCACCCAAAAATCCATGGAAGTCTCCAGGAATCTATGGAAACATCTGGAAACATCTGTTGAACCCCCCAGATCTGCCATTTCTATCCATTTCTTGTCCGCGCAACCGGTTTCACCGGTTTCACAGCTACTCAGCAGGGAGGACAGTACTTCTGGAGCCACCTCCGGTAGATCCTTCAACTTCAGCACCTTTAAGGCCACCAGCGCGGTCAAGGCTTTGTCATCCTGGCGCCAAATTAGAGGTTTTTGACACCCAGGGGCTGAAAATGGTGTATATAAAGATGTGTAGAGGTCAGAATCTTCAAGGAGTTTGCAGTTACGGCAATCTTTGAATCTAAGCTGAAGATACAAGGCCTGTTTTTGCGTTGCTTGTGACAAAAATGGTTTGCATCATTTACTGTCCTTTGTGAACCAAGGCCATGTAACAAAAATTTGATTCTCAAGCTGCACGTGAAGTCTAGTCAGTCGTAAAAATCGAACAGTCATTACATGTGCAAATGTTCTTGCAATTTGGGGGTTTCCACACGTGGAAAAAAAACGTAAAAGGAATGAGACCTCATCTCGCAACAAACTCCAAACATCAAAAAGTTCATCAACAAAGTCAAAGTCATCTACTATATATCCAACCTGACATGAAAACTGAATTTAGGGTTCATCTGGAATGTGATTTTGAATATGAAAGCGACATTGTAGGTGGTTTGAATCATAAACATTTGCCTTATGTCAATTTCTTCCCAAACTTTGATAAGATTGATACAGATGATCAAATAGACTGTGTGTTGGACAAACTTGGTAGTAAAATATTTAACCAAGTAGATTGTCTATGTGGTGAAAACTATGACAGAGTGAACCTTGGAACACTTTACTTTAGAAATTTACGTTGACCCAAACGAGTATCAATTAACGTAGTGATTAAATCATAAGATCTTATTTAATATTATTGAACTAATCTCTAGACAGAACATCATCGAAAACCCTATCAACCCCAACAATTTTCCCCCTCAAACCAAACAATGAGGTGAACTAACATGGGATGTCCAATTGAATCCCCCGATAAAACCATTTCTTGATGGGTCCCGAATAGCTGGATGCTTCATGATTAGTAACCGGGTAGCCCCATCACTTGATCCATTGGGATGATCCCTGCACTTGCTCCCGCTGGGCATGTCTCGTCCTGCTCGATGTCGTCTTTGATATGTTGACACAGCGGACCGAAAACATCCTGCTCACAGAAATTGGCACAGTTCATGTAAATTCGTGACTGGCATTCAGAACTGCGGTGTTCGACCCCAAAAATCTTGGGCAATTGGGACAGGCATTCATTGTTCAACAAAGAAGTTGAATATTATATATATAATATCATATATTATATTTAACATGTAATATGTAATATAATATGTAATATATCATATATCATATATCATATACCATATATAATATCATATACAATATGTAATATATCATATACAATATATATATAATATGTAAAATATATGATATATGATATATAATATATAATATAATATGTAGTGTATAATATATAATAAGTAATGTATAGTATATCATATATGATATATAAGATATAAGATATCAAATATAAGAGATAATACATAATATACAATATTTATGTATATATATACATATATCATATGATAATATACATACCATATAAATAATATATATAATATAAATATACTATATATATATACAATATATATATATATATATATATACAATATATATATATACAATATATGTTTATTATATACAATATATATACATATATATTATTATATACAATATATATATATATATTATACAATATATGTATATTATATAGATAATATCATATATATATATTATATATTATATATATATTATATATAGCAGATCTCCAGTCATTTCACAGTCCTAAAAATATCAAGTCCATTTGTGGATGACTCAGCCCAGGCTCTGTCCACCCTCACGTCCCTACGGAGAAGACTGTCCAATGAAGTCGCTGGGGGCTACCCTCAGGGGAGCTACACCAAGTTCCCTACTCATCCGACTGTCCCATCATCAATCCCAAAGCTGATTTGAAATTCCAATGGTTCCAAGGTTACTTTTTGATGTGTTTCCTCATGTATTTTACAGAACATCCAACATGAACCATCCATTCCCCAAGATGTCCCATCAAATTTACCTCCAACTGCGCTCTGCACAGGCAAATTAGCCCAACTTCAAGGCGAAAAAAATTGGCCGTGGTTTCATCCAAAAGTTACAGAAAAAAATGGAAATTGTGGTAAAACCCTATGGATCCCCATGGGTTTCCTCCAGATTTTCGCCAGGCTCTCCTGAAACTCCTCCTCCTCCAAGACCCGCAGCTCTGCGAGGGCCCACGCCGCATTGGCCAAGTGCCGTGGCGTAAAGCTTGGGCACCTGCCGTGGTGGCCAGTTGGCACGGCCACTGAATCAGGATCCCCAGGATCCAAGCTGAAGCAGGTTGAAGCCCAAAGTTGAGTTCTTCAACTTGGAAATGGGGGGTGATACCGTTCTGGTCGCAGCAGCACAAATCACTTGAGGCGGTGGTGGTCTTGACCCATGCACATACCAATCACAACAAACCTGGAAATGCGGCCTTTCGATTCTGTTTGACCCAATCTCCCAATCCATGACGTCAAAACCCGCGACCTCCCCCAGTGGCGCACAGCAACAACCACTTGCTTGGCGTTTGCGACAGTCCTAACGAGTGAAAAAACCTCCCTCAGCCATTCACCCTGCGCTCAAAAAGGCGTTCACTCACACGGAGGTGGATCAATAAAGGCCTCCATCTCTCTGATTTTGGGGGTTAGATTGACTCACGGACGTGATTGCGTCATACTGCGTCGGGAACCATATCTGCTCTGATCACAGCTTTGAGTAGGCGAAACGTCGCAAAAATTCTAACAGTCTTGACCCGTAAAGTGGCTAGCGGCTTCCCTTACCCAGCCACCTTACCCACCACTTGCAGTTCGTCCCGCAGTCCCGAGTGAGAAGGCCAAGGTGGCAAAACATCAGACCAGGTTTGACAACTCCTGAGGCAACTTGCTGATCCAAGGCCCACAGCCATGGTTGTGGGGTAATTGTGGGGTAGCAAAAAATAGAAAAATTTCTAACAAAAACGTGTGATTAATTATTCTGTGGTCGATATGCGTGTGCCCCTGCCAAACCTTGTTAATCATGCTGTATGCGGCATGGCCATCCCCATAATCGGAATCCTTGTAACGGCTGTATAAATCCCTGTTGATGAGGTGATGACCAGATCCTTTTACGGGAAACCCTCAAACCCGAGGGGTCTCATTTTGGCCCAAGAATTGTGTGTTTTCACAGGAATGTTTTGTCAAAAAAAGGTGTCCATATCCCAAATCGATCTCACTCCAAAACAATTCAACTCAAACTCCACTCAAATGTCAGTTGATGTACTCATATATTTATATATATATATATAAATAATGTACTTATATATGTATACTTATATATATATACTTATATATATATATAATGTACTTATATATGTATACTTATATATATACTTATATATGTATACTTATATATATACATATATTTATATATAATGTACTTATATATGTATACTTAAATATACTTATATATGTATACTTATATATATATACTTATATACATGTATACTTATATATATATACTTATATATGTATACTTATATATATATATACATACTTTTATATATATATACTTATATATATATACTTATATATATATATACTTATATATATATATATACATACTTTTATATATATACTTATATATATACTTATATATATACTTATATATATGCTTATATATATATACATATACATATACTTATATATATATACTTATATATATATACTTATATATATATACTTAAATATATATATACTTACATATATACTTAAATATATACTTAAATATATATGTACTTATATATATACTTATATATATATATATACTTATATATTTATATACTTATATATATATACTTATATAGATAAAAGTAAATATATACCTATATATATACTTATAAGTATATATATACTTATATAAATATATACATATATATATATACTTATATAGATATATACATATATATATACTTATATATATACTTACATATATACATACTTATATATATACACTTATATATATATACACGTATATCCACATACTTATATCTATATACTTATATCCATTTACTTATATCTATAAAATATATTTTTACACGTATACATATATACTTATACATATATACTTTTACATATATATGCTTATACATATATACTTATACTAATATATACTTTTACATATATACTTATACATATATACTTATATATATATACTTATATATATACTTATACATATATACTTATACATATATACTTATACATATATACTTATACATATATACTTAGTAAGTTACTTATACATATATACTTATATATTATTATATATAATACACTTATATATACTTATATATATACTTATATATATATGTACTTATATATATATACTTATATATATATACTTATATCTACTTATATTTATATATACTTATATCTACTTTATTTATATATACTTATATATATATACTTATATATATACTTATATGTGTATATATATATACTTATATATATATACTTAGATATATATATATATACTTAGATATATATATATACTTATATATATCTACTTATATATATATACTTGTATATATACTTATATATATACTTGTATATATACTTATATATATACTTTTATATATACTTTATATATATACTTATAGATATACTTATAGATATACTTATAGATATACTTATAGATATACTTATAGATATACTTATATATATATACTTATATATATACTTATGTATATATATACTTCTATATGTACTTAAATATACTTATATGTACTCTTATATACATATATATAATTATATATATATACTTACACATACATATATATACTTGCATATATATATATACTTAGATAAATATATATATATATACACTTGTATATATGTATACCTTTATATACATATAAATATACTTATTTATACATATATATGTACTTGCATATATATATATATACTTATATACTTATATATACTTTTATATACTTAGATATATATATATATATACAATTGATATATATATACTTAGATATACTTAGATATACTTAGATATATATACACTTATACACATAGGTATATATAATTTTATTTATACTGTACATAACATTTAAAATATCAGTCCAAATCTCCGGTTCCTTTACCTTCACCCCCACCCCCCAACCGTCCTGCGGGGCCAACTGGGTCGCCTGTTCCACAGCACGGCCGCGCACCGCGCGCAGCAGTGGAACAGGACGGTGCCACAGCGTGGCAAGGGCTCAAGTGCTGTTCGCCATGTCCTGGATCAAGGAACCATCAAAAATGGAATCTATAACGAAAAATTGGGATATAATGATCATGGGTGAAAACGAAAAATTAAGAAAATTAAATTGGATATATAACGATGATATGATCATGGGTAAAAAGGAAAAAATTGGGATATTATGATCATATCATCATGGGTATATAATATGCCAACTGAAGAATAATAATGTTTGGGATATAACGATGATATCGTGGGTGTATAACCAACAATATAGGATTTGGGTGTGTCTGAAAATGCGCGTGATGCCGTTTGGTTACCTTAAACTATAGTCATTTTTTAGCTTTATCCCCCTATTTAAAATACCCCCACATTGGATTTATTCATTCTGGGAATCCGTATGGGGGGTATTTAGTCGGGGGAAGGTATGAAGTGGCGGAAAATGACATGCTGATGATCAACCAGGTGCCGGTTTTTCAGCCGGACACACGTGGTAGAGGAAACCAGTGATAAATGGCTAAATCAAAGGAAATGGTGAACAACTGGCAAGAAACAAACCAACACACCATCACGACAGTAGTGAAACAACCATGTTTTAAGGTTAAGGCAACAACAAATAAGTATAGTGCAGTGTTTCAATTGATCAAGTTAACCACATCAGACGCCACAAAAATTGACCATACACCTGTCAATTCAAAAAGAACCCCATTTAAAAAGTTACTTATGAATGAAACTGCCCTGGAAATCATATTAAACAAACTACGATATGTTTTTTTTCAACAGGTTGAAGTGACCAATCAACATCGTTAAACATTTTGAAACAAAAGACAAAAGTCTTGTTTCCTATCAACGATTATTTCAAAATCATTTTACCAATCTTGAAACATCATTTTTCTTGAGTCACTTCAAATCAATCGAAAAAAACATGAAGAATCAGCAAAAAAAACATGTTCCAGGCCTTCCGTCCTGTTCCTGGAACTGTGGCAACTTCTCCAAGGCCACCGAAGCCATGGCCTCGCAAAAGGGCACGTCGCGCTTGGCCCAGGTCGCAAGGCCTGCCCGAAAAATGCTTAGCACATGGCGATATAACGAGATATTGTTAGATAGGATAGATAACACGCAATATACATTTAATAAACAAATCAAAACAAAACAAAACAAAGAGAGAGAGAGAGAGATTTATATATAGTGTATATATATATATATAACAAGAGTGATGATTTATATTGGGGATATGAAGAGATATAGACAAAAATATTTTTTTTATACAGTATATAATAATAAGCAAATTGGTGGTATAATGGAATATAGATATCACAAGATATCATGTTGTGGGCACAATGGTGTTTGAACCAGGATACAAAGGGATATGGACATAACAAAAATGAACAAGATACCCCAAAACTGCAGTGAAAACCGATGATGCCAAATCGAGTCTGTCTACCAAGAAGCGTCAGATTCCCCACGGCTGAATCAAGAACGGCATGGTTGCGACCTCCAACATACAGAACTCTCCGCGGCATCTCTTGGCCGAAGACTTTCTTGAATGCGCCATTTATCATGGCTTCTCCTTTTTCGAAGGCGAAATTGTACTTGTGACTTAGCTGCGGCAGAGCCTCTATGCACAGTCACCAAGTCCCGCGCCTGCCACGCGACACAGCTGCGCCGACCAGCGGCCAGAGCCTACAGAGAGTCACCAAGTGCCGCGCCTGCCACGCGAGACACCGCGAGGTCAAGCGTCCAGAGACTCTACAGAGAGTCGCCAAGTGCCGCGCCCGCCACTCGAGACAGCCGCGGCGTGAAGCATCCAGAGGCCCTACAGAGAGTCACCAAGTGCCGTGCCTGCCACGCAAAGCCGCCGCGGCGTCAACGGGGTCCAAGGCGACCAGAGACTACAGAGAGTCACCAGGTGCCGCGCCTGCCACGCAAAGCAGCCGCGGCGTCGAGCGTCCAGAGGACAGTCACCAAATGCCGCGCTTGTCAGACGGACAAGCTGATAGAGAGACGTGTTGATACAGAGAAATGTAATAGAGACAAGTTGACAGAAAGGAAGTGTGATTGAGACAGAGATGGTAAGACAGCTGATAGTGACAGAGACAAGTTGATAGAGAGAGAAAGAAGACGGCGGGAGGCGGGCGGATGGAGGAGCGCGGCGGATTCCCAGCAAAAAATTAGAACCCCACATAGTGATGTGGGGAATGAAGACATGAAGACCAAATAGATTAAACAAGCAAAATCTGTTAAATAAGCTATTGAACTATATACTATAATACTATAATTAAGATATATGAATATACTATATATATGTCATATACTACATATATATTATAATTATATATATAGTTATTTATATACACAATAGCTCTCTATCGCTACCTCCCCCCCGGGCCCAGCACCCCTCCTTGCCTCACACCATGTTACAAAAGCCTCGTGCCGTGAGCTGTCGCTTCTTGGCCCTGGCCGTAGTCGCTAGGGCCTCCGGCAGCGCAGCACCTCAGGGCAATTCTCCCAACATGTCCACCATTGAGTTCGATGATTTTCCGATTTCAGCGGTCATTTAGTTCAGGGATTTCCGATTGCCAGGTTTGAGTACCAGCAGAAAATTATCCTATAACTATCCGATGATAACCCGTATAGTTTCAGGTGTATATAAGTGGATATATGTCATATGTCTAAGTAGAAATGTAAGGGAGTTTTCTCAGTGAAATAAGACTGGCAAATGCAGTCATTCAAGCATGTTGAGTCTTTTGAGTGGAAGCAGATTAGAAATTCATCCCTTTCAGACTGGATTATGGAAAAGAGCGCAGTTCTACAATTTGCACATCTTGACCGCCCCCTGACGTTCCCTCCTGATTTTTAAATGCCCCCCCAATCGAACTCCTGGTCTAGTATTGGATCTATTCACGAATTGGGATTGGCATTTGATATCATTGGGAAATCCAAAATAAGACCCAAAATACAAGAATACATAAACAAACAAAACAAACAAAGAATAAATAAATGGCTCCCCTGAAATCATACTATATCACCCCTGATCTTCCCATTCTGCCCTCAAATCAAGGCGCTTACATTGCAGTCCAGCACGGCAACCGCCCACGCCAAGTTCCACAGACTCTGCGGCCCGAACTGCGGCATCTGCCGCACTGCGGCTGTGGCCATTTGATGCATCCAGGTGACCTGTGGGGGGGTGGGGGGGTGTACCCTCTGGTACCCTCTGGTAAACTAACATAGCTATTGAAAATGGCCATTTATAGTGGTTTTTCCCATTAAATATGGTGAATTTCCATAGTTATGTTAGTTTACCAGATGGTAATTTGTGTGAAAAATGGCCGGTTTATAAATGGATCGTGTAGCTATTGAAAGTTGCGATGTTCCATAGCAATCTCAAATGGCCAGAGGCTATGTCTGAAAATGGAGGCTTCCAAAAAAATGGCAACTTCAATAGGGAATATATGATGATGAAGCACCTTTTTCGGGGACCCTCTTTTCAGACAAACCCATCTTTGAGATAAGCAAAACACAAAACATCGGGTGGATAGTCATCAACTCTTGCTGATTTTAGGTGCATCGACCACTACAAATGGGCTAGAGACCTCCCCGCTGACCCTGAGTGATAGTGAGTGTCCATACAGCCATTGATAGGGGGTTATGTCAGGTTATGTTTCAGGAATGAACATCTACAGTACCACAAAAAATTGCCTGGCCATAAAACCTTGATAACTACTGGCTGTTCATGGGAGCATAACATTGACTGCGCAACACCTCACAGCCAAAAAAACACAAGGTAGAACAAGAGATTTCGGATCTGGAGCGCCATGCGCATCTTCCAATTACATCAGGGTCCCGCACCAAACAAAGGCTGCGATCCATCGAATCTTTCGGGTCTCCCAAGTGGAAAATTTACGATGTAAAAATTCGCATCCCAAGTTCCATGTGTTGAAATCAGCCAATTCCAGGTGTGTTTTGTGCATCCAATTTCTGATGGATGATCATGAGTCCTGACACTATCGAAATGATGGTTCGTTTATGGGGATCAGTATAGCCCCATTAATAATCCCCAATCATTTATGATACCCCATAAATGATAGCTAAAAAATTGCACTAGATTCCTTATCCACCAGTACATCCCAATTGTTTGCTCCATCACACTGTATGGTAGTTCAACATGCACTAGCTATGAAATTAATCACCATTTCTCGTAGGAAATCATCGAACTGAATGCGCGATGGCTTCCATACTTATTATATTCCCAAGAAATCCATGTTTCGGTTCTATCTCCACTCTATCTCCATGATATTTCCATTGTATCTACATTTTATATCTCTAGTACATCTCCATCATCCCATTGTTTCAGATTATTAATAGGCTGTTATATCCATATTACTGTATATCACCATGGAGGTTTCCCGAAATACGGGGTATCCCTAGTCATCATCCATTTTAAATCAGTTTAAACCATAACGCCATAGGATTTTTGTAGGACCATCATAATAGGATTTTTTAACCATCATTTTACAGAGTCATCCCTAGTTACAGTAATAGGATTTTCCATTACCCTCTGGTAAACTAACGTAACTATGGAAAATCACAATTTTTAATGGGAAAACTCACTATAAATGCCCATTTTCAATAGCTATGTTAGTTTGTTTACCAGAGGGTAAACCATCCAGCGAGAACCGCGATTTGACCATGGCACCTCCTGGTGCTTCAGCACCGCCAACGCCCACGCCATGCCCGACAGCTCTCGGTGTCCAAATCCCTCCATGACAAGCGTGGCTTAGGTCACCAGCGCGCCTGCGCCATCCCGCGGGGGGAAGAAAAATGGGCTCAAGTGGTGGATATCCTAGAATCCCATCCATGATCAAGTTTATGGCATATCACGCCATAGCCTAGGACCATCATAATAGGATTTTTTAACCATCATTTTACAGAGTCATCCCTAGTTACAGTAATAGGATTTTCCATTACCCTCTGGTAAACTAACGTAACTATGGAAAATCACAATTTTTAATGGGAAAACTCACTATAAATGCCCATTTTCAATAGCTATGTTAGTTTGTTTACCAGAGGGTAAACCATCCAGCGAGAACCGCGATTTGACCATGGCACCTCCTGGTGCTTCAGCACCGCCAACGCCCACGCCATGCCCGACAGCTCTCGGTGTCCAAATCCCTCCATGACAAGCGTGGCTTAGGTCACCAGCGCGCCTGCGCCATCCCGCGGGGGGAAGAAAAATGGGCTCAAGTGGTGGATATCACATGGAAATATGGATAGAATCAGCCTATGAAAATGCTGGAAATCTATGGAAGTAATCTGGAAATATGGATAATATGAATATTTCATTGTTGAATGGACATATAAAATGGACATATGGATACACTATGATGGGATGATCTACTCTCTTATAGGTGTCATATATGGAAATATCATGAAATATAATGGAGATACACTGATTTGTGGGGTATAGTGAGATATGATATGGATGTAATGAATTATATTTAGATCTGAAAATAATGATGGGATAATGGAGATATAATTGGGACATAGTGGACATATGGATTTCTTGAGAATATATATATATGTATATATAATGAGATATAACCAACAAACAAGGGGAATGCTCTCTGGTAACTCAACAGTTCGCTATGGAAAACATCGCCCATTTAATGATTTGAATTACCAGAGGGTATTGGGTATGTAAATCCCGTTTCAGGGGGGATGACTAGACTATACCCCCTTTTCGGAAAATGATCCCTCTCTTGACGGGGTGCGTGCGGAGTCTGGCGTCCACAATCTCCGGCCCCAAGCACTGGTGGCGGGTACCGAAGACTAAAACTGCATGAAACTAAACAGAGAAGTGAAAGCACAACAAACGAATTACGAATTTCACATCAACCTCCACCATTGGCGCGTGCTTTGCGCAGTCTTCGCATGAAAGTCGCATACTTGTTGAATCTGTCTGCCGTCGGTGGATCATCCATCAAAGAAATTGACATTGTCGGTTGCAAGTTGCATTTGTAGATTGGTCTGCTTAGAACTCCAGATCCCTCCAAAGAAGAAATGTAGTCCCATGTGAACTGGATGGTCTCGCAAGAGTTGGGCAAAATTGGTCTCCGAGCGACCCCCGCAACCGGCGGTTTGAAACCCAATCTGATGAGAGAGCCACACTTTGTAATGATAGGTGAAGGTATCAGTTTCTGTTGTAAAATGGTTTCAAGATTCTGTACCATGTGACGCAAGCACAAACCTTGCAAGGCAGCTGTACGGTGATTGCTCTGTAGCAACAGGGCATCGTCACTACCATAAGGAACGTATTTTGATTTCGCGCCAGAGCCTGAAATTCTGACTGGAAACTGAAAGCCAGTAGCCAAATAAAAGGATGTAGCCATCTCAAACCAGGACATGCCCCAATCTGTGGCGTCCTTCTCTGCAACATTTGCGGGCCATTTCAGTGAATCGAGCCAAGTCTTAAGGGCTTTCCCTAAGTTGGCGCCTTGTAAACACATGTGGAAGACTTCGTCATCAACACCAACGTTGGGAATGCTTTCATAACCGTCGGGAGTAAAATTCTTCAAGAAATTGCATGCATCTACTCCCATCAAACTGGAATCAAAAAGTCCGCGCGACGGTAAAGGAGCGGCTCTCGCATGTTGAAACTGAGTCAGGAACGCACCTTTACCATTCTTCAGTTCATTCAGTTTTTGAAGTCTGCATCTGTTAAACTGCACAAGGTATCCAAGAAAATCTTTAAAAGATTTTTCTTCCACACGAACGTGGTTGGCAATTGAGTCAATGAGGGCTTTGATGTCAGCAGGGATAGAGCTAAGCACGGATGTGGCAGCAAGATCTGCGCAATGGTTGCCAACAAATTTCCAGAGTTCATCATGGTTGGTTGCCTGCTCAAAAGGAACGTGACTTTTAACCTTTATCATTCGGTGTTTGTCAGGGTTCCATAAACCATCAATCTCCTGAATAAGATCCACATTAGGGATCTTGTGAGAGATTCGTTGCCACGTTCGATTCACGACAGCCCTAATGACCAAGCAAACATATTTGGCATCAGTGACAAAATCAGCAGTTGCGTCTGGGTCTGTCTGACATAAAGCTCGCAAGGCAATGAGAACCGCAAAAAGCTCAGCTCTGGCGACATTCTGATCACCTGGTACTAAACCCACGGCTGTGGTAACGAAAGTCGGGAAGTGAGGTTCGGGGCCAAACACGAAGTCCAAGGCTGTTCTTCGAAGTTCCTGGGTGTTGGCAACATCTTGGATTATTGCCCATGAAGCCACTCTGGCGCATGCAATCTCTGGATTTAATGCTCCTCCATCCGTAAAGAACCTGTAATGGTGGTCATCCATCACAACAATCGATGGAGTGGCTGGGTCACGGATGAGTTGTGTCCATGCTCTAAAGATTACGGTCTCAGGATGTTGTCGAGGGATAGGCAAGTAAATCCACTCAGGTCTATCTTGGCTGATTAATTGACAAGTGGCACTCCACTCTTGACGAGTCTCGGACAGAGCATCACATTCAAGGAGTCTATGTTCTCGAGTGTCAGGAAGACCACAAAATTCACAATCGCCACTGACCTTGTCATCCCATTTGGCTTTCATGGAATCCGTCTGGTAACCGCCGGCAATATTGAGCTTGATGAGTTGTTGTTCCTCATCCTGCAGTTTAGAGAAAATTCTGATGGAGATGGCTGGATCAGGCAGAAAATCACCAATCCCTTTTCTGTCGGTGAGGTTCAGCAAAGAAAAACACCACATCTGCCTGAAAGTGTTGATGATTTTTTTGCATTGATCTCTCAGGATATTGCATCTAAAGTGGTCAGGACCTGTGATGTCACCATTTTCGGCAATCGTCCAACCTACTTGATTCAAGTACACTCTAAATGCAGAAGCTGGCCCGTACGGTCTTTGACCCGTGTACGCCACCATTGCTTTGACCGTATCAACTGCAATTGAATGGGCTGTTTTGGCCAACCTCCTGACAATTCTGGCACATTGGCAAAGGACGTGCAAAAATGGATCCACCAGAAACTTGGAAAGAAAATTGCACGACGTCACTGGAGAAGCGCTATGCCAATGTCCAACCAAAGCAGTAACGCAAGCACGACGCAAATCCACAAAATGCTTCTTTCCAATGTAGGTTGTATCTGCACTATACAGAGCCATAGGCCACGCACATGATTGAATGAGATGGGCCTTCTTCTGAAGAGAACATGGGATCCACTCGATGCGATGGACTCTGGTTACAGCCTCGGAAATCTTCTCTTTGATGAAGCCCAAGGATACACTTTTGTTGTAATGGACGATCTCACCCAAATCTTTGACGCACGATCTAACAGAGACTTCCGTACCATCTTGTGTCTGACAATTGCTGGTGCAAAAATCGCGGAACTGTTTTGTTGTGGCCCAGTGCCAACTCTTCGCATGGTCGATTGACAGCTTCAGGGCAGAGGTCATTGCAAGAACGTCTCTGTGCGCTGTAAGGTGTGCTTGTTGCTGTTTCGACATCCAACTCCAGTTATCTGCATAGGCAAAAGGAAACACGTGTTGTCTGATGATTCTGAAGTAGAAAAAGCAAGAAAGCGCCAGCATGGAGAGTACACTTATTGAGCAACCTTCTGGAACTCCAGTAGTGGAGGTGATTCCAACTGAAATCTGTCCCTCAACAAATGGAAATCGGACAAGTTTGTCAAGGCTGTGAAGGTGCATAATGATTGCTGATGGATATCGTGCAAAAGTATTGAAGGCTTTGATCAAGTCAAGCGAATAGCCTCCAAGAACTGCGTTAGATCTGACCGCATCTTCAATCATTCTCTTTTGTGCGTAGGCTAACTCCTTTACTCCTCTACCAGGCAGGCCACCAGAGATGGGGAATGGAAAATGGTCTTTCCAAATATCTGCGACACATCTGAAGACAAACTTCCCAAAAAGGCGATGCAAGCAACTCAAAATTGTGATTGGTCTCGCATGGTGCATCGACAAAGGAGTGGGAATCTTAGACAAAAGAATTGTCTTGGCTTTCATCAGATTGGGGCTGAAACCAACGAATGCAACCTGCTTGAAAATCCACACGAGATCAACGATGCAAATCCTTGGTAAACATCGTAGTTCATCGTTCGACCAACCGCAAGGTCCAACGGCTTTGGCTGGTGGAAGCTTGGAGATGATCTTCATCCATCTGTCAACATCATCCCATGGAATTTCAATCTGCGGTATGTGTGGCAGATCGCAATTACGCAAAATTGCTTGGAAATCAGACCAATCTTCACCTGAAAACTGCTGTTGTCTCGAATCACGTTGCCACATGGGTTTCCAGAAATCAGCAAATTCAGACGAAATTTCTTCAGGCGTCAAAGCTGTATATGAAACCTCCAAGACGCCCTGGCTGTCAAGACATCCATCAATGTGTCTGAAGAAAATCTTCCTGTCATCTTGCTTCAAAAATTCAAGGTTTGCCGCTCCCAATCTGAGTTTGGCAAAACAGGGAATCTGAAAGTCAGAGTCGATTCTAAGGCAGGTACCCCCGATCCTGGATCTGAGAAGCACTGCATTGAAACACTTTTTCACGGGAACCTCCCGGAGGCTATCTGTTTCTTTGGCACGAATAATTTTGTAGGTCAGTTTGCTGAAGTCATGTTGTATGTCAACTTGAATGCGATTTTTGAAAGCATCAGCACGCATCTTTGCTTCAGATTTGCAAGCATGGTCGCAATCAAGCTGAGTGATCTGAGTGACCAATTCCAAAAGCTCAATGTCGGGTAGCTTGAGAGGTATGGCAGGGATCATCTCAAAGCCTAGAATCCAGTTCTTCCACTTGCTGCCATAACCGCATGCGTTCAATATGCACTTCCATTCATTCAGAGCGTCAGCAACTGCATGTCCATCGGAGGGAGAGCCAGTCGTCAAAGGCAAAGCTTTGTATCTCCGTAGCAGGGTCTTCAAGCGTCGAACCTGTCTAATCTTTTGTTTGGACTGCAAAGAAAAGACCTCGTTTGGAGGCGAGTATCCACCATGGCGGTCAGATTTGACTCCAGACTGTCTCGGTTTGGATGTGATTTGTTTGAAGTTGCATCTTCCCTTGAAAGATGAGTGCAAATCTTTGCGGGGTTGACCTTCCGGGTCATCCAAGTGTCTTTTGCGAATGGCAGCACCAACAGCATTTTCAACCTTTTGCGACCAAAGTAAAAAAGCTTGCTCAACTTCATCAGGTGTCATGACATCAGGATCACTGAAAAATTCTTCAAAGTTGATGGGTTTATAAAATTTGGAAATGAGGTCATGTGATGGAGCGAAAGGAGCCCATGTCTTTGGCATTTTCCATGCACTGCAAAAATGCGCTTCCATTCTTGTGCCGAGCTGAATCAAAAGCGGCGAGTGCGGATCAAATTGGTTGTCCGACAACACATGCATGTCCATGAGGAGTCCAGCAACTATCGGATGCATGAATGCGGAATCGTTTCTGGTGGACCCTGCACAAGTTGGGGGGAGGTCTTCCCCCGTACGAGATTTATACCATTGGAAGGCTTCCACAACACCCATGTCTCTGAAAAATCTAAAAGCCGGAAGTTTGACAACAGGTTCATTGAAATCACCACAGACCAAAAAGGGTAGGCCGGAAGAGCAAATCAATGGAATAATGCTGGCCAAAAGAAGGTCATTCGGTCGCTTACCCTCTCTATGCCGGTTAGCAAACCCATATAAGGCTATAACCAGGATTTCAAGTTGTCCAATACGGACAATGCAGGCAGAAAAACGCTGGGATTCTTTCAGTACAATGGGGACCTCCCCACGAAATTGTCTGGAGGGGACACGTGTGAAAATAGCGGTACCAACAGCCTCACCCCTGTAAGATGGTCTGTTGTCAAGAGTCAATTTCTTAGGGGCCACCGGCTCACTCCAAAAGCTCTTGAAACCAAATTTGGAAAGTTCTCTTGATGACTCTTTTTGGATAACACTGGTGGCAGATGTTTCGGATGCGCAAATAATGTCAGCATTGAGGCCAACAAGCTGTTTAATTTTTCCATACACTGCGGTGGGGTTGCAAACTGCAATCGTGATACGATGGTCATCACCAGGTCCTGGATTCTTTGCTTGGCCAACATGACAAGAGAAAAACATTGAATGCAACAGCATCGAAATTCTGAGATTACCAAAAGGAAATGTATGACGAGCCAAAAAGCAATCCATCCAGTCGGCGGTTGTGCAAGCATTCCCATCAAGCCTAAAAAAGCTCGGAAGAAATACCGAAAAGGCATTTGAGGCATGACATGGGTAGACAGGTGCATACCCATCCAATGCAGGGATGCGGCCATACGGCAAAATGCCATGAATTAAGAGTGAATGCATCTTCCAGATCAAGTCCTCTTGCAGACATACGCAACCTAGTCACAAGTCATCATTGTGCTGACCATTTTTTGGCTTCTTTTGCGGAGGGCTCTGGCCACTGCCACGACACGAAATCAACTGCTTCAGCTCAAGAAATTGGACCGACATCTGACTGTCGTGGTGAGTAATGGCATTTTTCAAGGACTCTGCAAAAGAGTTAGTCATGGCTTGGAACTGCGACGCTGCTTCTGCTCTCAAGGTCTTGAATTCATTGTTCGTCTGCTCTGTATTGACTTGCATCTGAATGCTCTGATTTTCCACTGCTCTTTCAACTTTGGATAGGCTTTCACGCAATTGGGAGATTTCTTTGTCAGTCTGGACTTTAAGATCATGGAGGGCCGTGTCCTGCCGATCCCTCTCTTGACCATGGCACGTATCTCATCTTACAATAGTATCAGCCTTGGCAGACTTTAGGATCATACATCTTTATCACTGGTTGGTGGTTTCAACCCCTCTGAAAAATAGTCAGTTGGGATGATTCTTCCCAATATATTGAAAAATAAAACATGTTGCAAATTCCAAATAAAACATCTTTCGGCAAAAAACCTTCCGGCCAAAACCTGAACATCTTCACATCCCCAGCACTGGATGGCGCCATGGCGCCTAGCAACGGCGCATGGATTTCTGGCCGGGCAGCCAAGGTCCACGCAGTGGCAGTAAGCTCCCGCGGGCCGAAGTTTCGCAGGTGGCCTGAGCGGAGGGGGTGTCCAACCGGCATGGGATCCAACAGTACCAGAAACAAGTGGAGTTTACCATGATGCCATGAAGCATGCTGATATGTTTGTTTCATAAGTAGTTTTCATTGGAGATTTAGGGTGAAAACCATGTTATGGGCTTATCGTCCAATATATTGGGACAAGAAATAACGAAGAAAAAAAAGGCTATGGGTATGTCAAGTCATCGGGGTCGCTTGATGGACCCAAACCGGGCTGGTCAATGTGGCATTATCTCACCGTCCACTTTTGGAGCAATTTTGAGCCATTCCCATACCTTGTTGCTGTACCCACCTCATCATGAATCGTGAACCATTCATCCGGGGCACCAGGAAATTTGATTGGAAAGCGTCAGGGTAATGACTGTCATGTCATCGTTTGAAGGATTGGGTATCTCGCGCACAAACATTCCAAACATGGCACGCGACTGTAAAAACGCTTTCATCCAGTGAAATTAGTGACGTCAGCGAAGTTTTCGACCCAAGCTGAAGAGCTGCTGAGGAAATAGCCATTTGAGGCTAAGAAAAGAATGAAAAATCAACTTTTCGAAACATTGCAATTGTACAGGCCAAAAATCAAGTCGTGTTGATTGGGTATATCCCATGATATTCTCATCATATCACAATTGATGAAAAACCCGCCAAAATCATCCACAAAAACACCAAGCCCGGCTGCTGATGCACTGTGCTGCCAGCACCTCTTCTAAGCGCTCCTGCAAAAAGCCCGCTCTATACTGGTTGGATCGCAAGGGTTCCCCATGGATTGCGAGCATCCCCAATATGTCGGATAGTGTAATCCAGTATAAAGATCAGCCAACAGTAACAGGGGTTTAGCGACTGAAAAGATGTTGGTTAAGGAAGCATAGCTTTGTAGATTTTGTAGTGTCTAAATTTATAAACCAAATTACCTCTCGGCCCACCAACATTCCATTGAGTTCCATAATTTGAGACATCAAACCCACTGACCCGAGGTGCCCAAATTTCGCTCCTCCCGGAAGGTAATGTTGCTGCAGCCTCAGGCCATGCTTGCAAGTTGCAGGGCATTGAACTCCTTGATGATTGGAACTGCAGCAGCTGCCAGGGCCGTCCACATCTAGGTGTCGCTTAACCTTGGGGTCGGCATCCGGATGCATGGTTTGGAAACATCGAAACGAAATCTATTTGGAAAATCATGTTGCCTGTTTAACTCGCAATTTTTGGGCTACAAATAAAAGTAGACAAACCCAAAGCCATCGCATGATCGAACCAACCCTGGATTTGTAATCACAGTTTTGACCATGTTTGACCCGTGTCCACTTGGCACTCACGGATGGGCAGGGGAATGATCCGAATGATACCCTCTGGTAATTTAACAGTTTGCTATTGAAAATGACCATAGAAATAGTGGATTTTCCCATTAAAAATGGTGATTTTCCATAGCTATGTTAAATTACCAGAGGGTAAGGATGATGCTCACAGCTCCCCCGGAACCCACCAGGCGACAGCAGCGTGGACATTGACCACGCAATGTTCGATAGGCCTCGCGTCGCAAGGCCATTTTTAGGGCCCCTGAAATTTGGAGCCATAGGATGTGCGTCCCAGTCAGTGGCATGAGGTTGCGACCCAGTCACATGGCTAGAAATCAAAACCCAGGTGCCCTGATGAACATTGAAATAGGTGGTAAATGGACGTTCATTCCCCCAAAATATGGTATAATAGGTTTTGACCCATCCCCACATGTACATAATTGTCTGAAAAATATGATACCCACCAGTTCTCATGGTTATATAATTTAATCAGGTTGTCCAAACCAAAAGATATGTATCCCACTTGTTTACCATCACGCTCCCCCATCACCCTCCAGTAAATTAAGATCCACAATTTGTAGGTCACTTCCTCTGAAAACCCATGGATTTCAATCGTTTTTTCCATGTTTAGAGAGTCAACAAATTGCCATTTTCTGAGACTCAGAAACTGAGTTTCCCCCATTTTTCGCAGATGGGAGCAAGCCCGGGGCGCACCTAGCTGACCGAGTTCGGGATTGATGCAGTGGGCAACACGCTCCAACAGCCTGCACCAGAGCCACAAGCCGGGCTTGTGGCACAGCAACAGTTGTCATCCCGATGCTTGGAAGAGGAGAATCCATGTATATTATATATATATATTTATATAGATATATATATTATTGTATATATGTATTAATATGATTTAATATGTGTGTGTGTGTGACATATATTATACGTCAAAGAATCTGTGATGTACGAATGTAATATGTATAGAGTATATATATATATACATATAATTCTTTGATTGGATGTCAATTTGGTTTACCACAATATGTTTGGCAAACAAACACCTACACATTCAGGATTTGACCTATTGCTCTGCCTGCCTGCTAATTGAGAGCATCATTGGTCCCACAATTCCATCCTGCAGCTTTCAAAGATCAAGGTCAAAACAGTTCGTAATTAGTGGCCGCAGGGAACAAATCCCCAAAATTCCCTACTTGCTCAAAAATCTGAAAAAATTGCCGGTTTTGTCATGTGTTTACGTGTTTTTTCCAAATATTAGGAGGAGGGGGTATAAATCACTGCCAACCCGAGCACTCCCGAGGCACCGTCCCCCCACCTCCTTTGCACTGGATGCGAAAGAAATGGCGAAGGACCTGGCAGATGTGCCGGGATCATCACTCAGTTGGCTTCAGTTGGCTTCAAGAACTATGACTTTCAATGGATGTGTTTTCCAGCGGGGAAAAAAACAAAGCGAAATGAAACCAATGGGTTCTTCCCATCAAATAGAGTCAAATAGAGGGTTTCACCTGTACATTCCCTTCGACCCATTCTGGGAAAGGTTACAACTCGAGACCTGTTCGGGCATGCCCATTGGGCCATCTTTGGGTCTGTCCCTCATTTGGAGAGAAACCGCAAAATATACATGTTCATCATTCATCATATGATGTTTACTGATTTTCCCCAATGAAATGGGGAATCTATATATATATACCCCATCATTTGGTGATTTTCACTGCTCTTCCCAATCAAAATGGATGATGTTCTTTCATCTGCAAAGACTCCCATCTGCCTGCGCAGGATCGGGACCCCGCATGTATTGCAGATCTCATCATGGCAAGCTGCGCGTGACTGAAGATGTCGGCTGAAAGAAATATAATTCTTAGATTCGGTTTCTGTACATAAAAAGATATGATGGAACTACCATTGTGGTCGGAATTGTCGCAAAAATCCCATCACGGCGAAATACCATGATGGCATAAATAGGTGTATTATGATGGTATATTCCTGGTACAGTATATGATTACAAGACGTCCACTGAAATAACATCAAACGGATCCTCCCCATGTTTCCGACAACGGCTCGTGGAAAACGGCTCGTGGAAACCATCCCCAATTGGATGAGCTTTGCAAAGGCAGTGACATGCCCTAATTGCTATGTTGTGGGACCCTTGCAGCGGCGAATGGTCTCAAGTTGACTCAAGCTTCCATGAAAGCACTTCCCTTGCTATGTGGTGACTCCCATTCATGGGAACTCCTGCCATCATCATTGATGGACAGATGGTCACAGGAGTCAAGGTATCTTGAAGGATGGCTTCTCAAAATAGAATGCCTGAAATCCTCTTCTCATGACTTGTTTTCTGGCTCTTGGGATCTTCGATGGGTGTGAAACCAACAACTGACCACCCTTCAAACTTCAAACTGACTTTTAGCCATCTGAGTGGAAGACATGCAATCTTAATAAAAGATAGAAAGAATCATAACAACAATCACAATAATCACAATCTATCATTGACATATTAATATAAATAAACATATTAACAGTTATTAACATCATGATAGTTTTTTGGTTGACCCAATGGCTTGACCCATCCCGACCTGGACATGTCATCCCCTCGACTCGGCCCTTTTTCAGGCGCCGTCTCGGCCCTTGGGAGTGGCAGCATGTCCTGGTCGCGACGCGTTCGAATCGTTTCGTGAATGATAGAAGTCTAATTGAATGATATGGAGGTTTCCTAAAATGGGGGTTCAATACTAAAGTGGTCTCATGACTCATGACTCATGACTTGGATGATTTTCGCTAGCACTGTTTTAGGAAGTCTCCACATGGCTCACAATCTAAATGCTAAAAAATGAGTGGAAACTATTGTAAATGGTTCATACTACAGTGCAAAATTGAATGCAACAAGATTGGGTCTCATCAAGAGTCTTTATAGCAGACGGGCCAAAAATTGCTGATCATGTCTAATCCATTTAGTTTTTCCCGATCCTTGACCACCGGGTTTGTGACTGGACAACTGGGCATGGAAACCCAACATAGAAGAGCAAAATGACCCTATGGAGTCATACATCTGTATGTGCATATATATATACATATTATATTACATATTGTAAAATATATACAATCTCTAGAATGTAATAAATTATGTACAAACCACTTTGGGACTTCACATGCTGTAAGTTTGCTTCAAAGCTTCATAGCCCTCCGGCTCTTCTTCACCTCCCTGGCGGATAAAATCGCCTCAGAGCTGCAAAGGTGGTCATGTTCGGAAGCTGAGCAAGGGAGGATCTACATATACGGCAGTATATGGGAGGGAACTATAATATATATATATATACAGTATATATATATGTACATATGTGTTAAGAAACTTTATGAAACAAAAATATAGACTCTCATGTTCGGAGAAAGTAAGATGAATTACTTAGACTCAGCCGTGTATGGCGATTTGATTGGGTTGACTTCTGCTTCGGTAACCATGACTCGTAAACTATGATTCGTACACCATGACTCGTAAACTATGACTCGTAAACTATGCTTCGTAAACCATGACTCGGAAACTGTGACTCGTAAACAATGCTTCGTAAGCCAAGATCCGTAAACTATGCTCCATAAACTATGATTCATAAACCGAATGTAAGATGTGACTTTGCATGCGAAGCGTAGTTGCTGAAGCGAGAGGGTGGTTTGGTTGTTGAGCCGTAGTTGCTGAAGCGGAGTTTAATCGATTTGATGGCCATTTCACTGACAGAAATATTGATTTTGGGGAGAATAATAGTGAGAATATAACGAACAAACAACGAGCTATTCCCTTCGGCAATCAAAGATGGCTGGCTGGGAAATCCCCGAACTCTTCGAAATGGGGAGTTGTCCAGCAAGGTATGTTTGATTACCAGAGGGTACGAGGTGAAATCCCCTATGTGTGAGTTTATCAACTGTGAAAACCAACAAGGGAGGTCCTTCTTTCTCTAAGGGCAAAAGCCGAATGATTGAAACATTTCAGGAGAATTTAGCATCTACTTTGATGATTACCCCAGCCAGGCCACGCAGAGCCATCCGCTCCGCTGGATCCAGTTCAGGATGCCAGGCGCGGGTCAGCAGCAGCATCCGCGGCGGGCGAGTCGCGTCAGCCGCGTCAGCAGGACCTCCAGGGATTTGTTCGCCAGCGAAATGGAGGGGTGGAAACGTGGGGGTGAACTTTTACAGCATGATAGCAAACAATAGAGAGGTTTAAGTGGTGAACTGGTACAGTAAACAAAAAAAGAAAACAAAATGAAACAAAGATGATCTTTTCAACGAAAGGTGTTTGGTTGGTATGTTACAAAATGTTACAAACAAAGAGGTTTCATGCAACTAGAGTTGGTAAGGTTTTAACAGAGCAATATGCACACTGGATGCTCAAGTTCCCTCGTGAAACCATGGAATCTTCGATGGCTGGGAAGATGCTTTCCTGGATTCGCCTTGGCTTTCCATTCTACACCTAAGAGGTGTGTTACTTTACCCCACTATGCTCAGCACGACCCCCAAAACAGGGCAGAAGCTTCCTGCCTTGTTTGGATTCAAGACAAATCCGAAAAAGAACAGAAGTAATTATCAATACAAATATCTGAATTTCGCTCCTCACAGGAATGCCCCAAGTCGGTTTTTGGGATCGTTTCCCAACTTTTTTCCGCCTCTGTAGCGCACAGCGTGACTGAAGGAATCGTCAAAGACAAGGGTGCGACCCAACTTCCAGGTGACCTCTGGGGCAACGATTCAGAAAAGTAAAATCCAAATCTAAAACGAACTAAAACCAATGATAAATTGAACTATCTATATATATATGTGATATAATATATATATATGTATATGTATGTATATGTTATATAATATACATATATATATGTATGTATATGTTATATTTTATATATATATATATATGTTATATTATATATATGTTATATATATATGTTATATCATATATATATGTTATATCATATATATATTATATTATATATGTGTGTGTGTTATATATTATGTATATATATATATGTTATATACATATATGTTATATACATATATATATATGTTATATATATATTATATATGTGTGTTATATATATATGTTATATATATATATATGTTATATATATATATGTTATATATATATGTTATATATATATGTTATATATATATGTTATATATACATATGTAATGTATATATATATGTATATATATATCTTCTTGGGGGTTAATATAGTCGTGATGCTGGCGATGTGGTGGTGATAAATATCTCACAATTGTTCTAATGATTGTTGCCATTGTGATTGCTACTGCTACCATCCTACTGGTGGTGATCTGCTGGTAATGGTGCTGGTTCAAATGTCCTTCCCTCAAGATGGGATAAAGGATTCACTCAACCAATATCTGACTATTCTAAGAATGATGCAAAATAAAATGACAAAACACACACACATCTGAAAGTCTCTAAACCATTTTTGTTCAAGCGCCCACCGTGGCCGCCGTGG